GTCCTTCTCTGTCCGGCTATTTACTCATAGCGGGGTGGGGGGGAGAAGAAGAGGGTTCATACCTTTCCTCAGTGTATTAACACATAAGTGAATGTAATGAATTCGACTGGAATTCGAACTCGGCTCTCCGATTCTTCAATATGAACCGCTATCCATATAGTTTTTCTTTTTCTAGACCAGTTGCCACCCAAGGTTATATAACCCAGTTTGTCCTGCTATTTACCCATAGCTGGGGGAGAAGAAGAGGATTCATACCTTCCTCAAGGGTATTAGCATGTAAGTGAATGTAAGTGATTCGACTGGAATTCGAATTCGGCTCTCCGATTCTTCAATATGAACCGCTATCCATATAGTTTTTCTTTTTCTAGACCAGTTGCCACCCAAGGTTATATAACCCAGTTTGTCCTGATTATTTACCCATAGCTGGGGGGAGAAGAAGAGGATTCATACCTTCCTCAAGGGTATAGCATGTTGAATGTTAAGGATTCGACTGAATTCGAATTGGCTCTCCGATTCTTCAATATGAACCGCTATCCATATAGTTTTCTTTTTCTAGACCAGTTGCCACCCAAGGTTATATAACCCAGTTTGTCCTGCTATTTACCCATAGCTGGGGGAGAAGAAGAGGATTCATAATTTCCTCAAGGGTATTAGCATGTAAGTGAATGTAAGTGATTCGACTGGAATTGAACTCGGCTCTCCGATTCTTCAATATGAACCGCTATCCATATAGTTTTTCTTTTTCTAGACCAGTTGCCACCCAAGGTTATATAACCCAGTTTGTCCTGCTATTTACCCATAGCTGGGGGAGAAGAAGAGGATTCATACCTTCCTCAAGGGTATTAGCATGTAAGTGAATGTAAGTGATTCGACTGAATTCGAATTGGCCTCCGATTCTTCAATATGAACCGCTATCCATATAGTTTTTCTTTTTCTAGACCAGTTGCCACCCAAGGTTATATAACCCAGTTTGTCCTGCTATTTACCCATAGCTGGGGGAGAAGAAGAGGATTCATACCTTCCTCAAGGGTATTAGCATGTAAGTGAATGTAATGATTCGACTGGAATTCGAATTCTCCGATTCTTCAATATGAACCGCTATCCATATAGTTTTTCTTTTTCTAGACCAGTTGCCACCCAAGGTTATATAACCCAGTTTGTCCTGCTATTTACCCATAGCTGGGGGGGAGAAGAAGAGGATTCATACCTTCCTCAAGGGTATTAGCATGTAAGTGAATGTAAGTGATTCGACTGGAATTGAATTCGGCTCTCCGATTCTTCAATATGAACCGCTATCCATAGTTTTTTTTTTTCTAGACCAGTTGCCACCCAAGGTTATATAACCCAGTTTGTCCTGCTATTTACCCATAGCTGGGGAGAAGAAGAGGATTCATACCTTCCTCAAGGGTATTAGCATACCTTGAATGTAAGTGATTCGACTGGAATTCGAATTCGGCTCTCCGATTCTTCAATATGAACCGCTATCCATATAGTTTTTCTTTTTCTAGACCAGTTGCCACCCAAGGTTATATAACCCAGTTTGTCCTGCTATTTACCCATAGCTGGGGGAGAAGAAGAGGATTCATACCTTCTCAAGGGTATTAGCATAAGTGAATGTAAGTGATTCGACTGGAATTCGAATTCGGCTCTCCGATTCCAATATGAACCGCTATCCATATAGTTTTCTTTTTTCTAGACCAGTTGCCACCCAAGGTTATATAACCCAGTTTGTCCTGCTATTTACCCATAGCTGGGGGAGAAGAAGAGGATTCATACCTTCCTCAAGGGTATTAGCATGTAAGTGAATGTAAGTGATTCGACTGGAATTCGAACTCGGCTCTCCGATTCTTCAATATGAACCGCTATCCATATAGTTTTTTCTTTTTCTAGACCAGTTGCCACCCAAGGTTTATATAACCCAGTTTGTCCTGCTATTTACCCATAGCTGGGGGAGAAGAAGTGATTCATACCTTCCTCAAGGGTATTAGCATGTAAGTGAATGTAAGTGATTCGACTGAATTCGAATTGGCTCTCCGATTCTTCAATATGAACCGCTATCCATATAGTTTTTTTTTTTCTAGACCAGTTGCCACCCAAGGTTATATAACCCAGTTTGTCCTGCTATTTACTCCATAGCTGGGGGAGAAGAAGAGGATTCATACCTTCCTCAAGGGTATTAGCATGTAAGTGAATGTAAGTGATTCGACTGGAATTGAATTCGGCTCTCCGATTCTTCAATATGAACCGCTATCCATATAGTTTTTTCTTTTTCTAGACCAGTTGCCACCCAAGGTTATATAACCCAGTTTGTCCTGCTATTTACCCATAGCTGGGGAGAAGAAGAGGATTCATACCTTCCTCAAGGGTATTAGCATGTAAGTGAATGTAAGTGATTCGACTGGAATTCGAATTGGCTCTCCGATTCTTCAATATGAACCGCTATCCATATTTTTCTTTTTCTAGACCAGTTGTACCCCAAGGTTATATAACCCAGTTTGTCCTGCTATTTACCCATAGCTGGGGAGAAGAAGAGGATTCATACCTTCCTCAAGGGTATTAGCATGTTTTGAATGTAAGTGATTCGACTGGAATTGAATTCGGCTCTCCGATTCTTCAATATGAACCGCTATCCATATAGTTTTTCTTTTTCTAGACCAGTTGCCACCCAAGGTTATATAACCCAGTTTGTCCTGCTATTTTAGCTGGGGGAGAAGAAGAGGATTCATACCTTCCTTGTGGGTATTAGCATGTAAGTGAATGTAAGTGATATGACTGGAATTCGAACTCGGCTCTCCGATTCTTCAATATGAACCGCTATCCATATAGTTTTTCTTTTTCTAGACCAGTTGCCACCCAAGGTTATATAACCCAGTTTGTCCTGCTATTTACCCATAGCTGGGGGAGAAGAAGAGGATTCATACCTTCCTCAAGGGTATTAGCATGTAAGTGAATGTAAGTGATCTGACTGGAATTCGAATTCTCTCCGATTCTTCAATATGAACCGCTATCCATATAGTTTTTCTTTTCTAGACCAGTTGCCACCCAAGGTTATATAACCCAGTTTGTCCTGCTATTTACCCATAGCTGGGGGAGAAGAAGAGGATTCATACCTTCCTCAAGGGTATTAGCATGTAAGTGAATGTAAGTGATTCGACTGGAATTCGAACTCGGCTCTCCGATTCCTCAATCAAGCTATCCATTATTCCACCGTGCCTCCTCTTTGAGGGGCTCAAATAGATAATAATATGAAGGAGTCAAATACAGAAAAATGTAGTAGATATACTGTACAACACAGCCATATCGTTGAAACTACGATTTTCATCTTGGCTATGTATGGGTGACACTTTCAAGATAATCCCCTTAAGCAAACACTTTGGTCTCCCTCTCTATGTCCAGTGTTTCACAATATCTAATTGTAGGACCGTGTGATATAGTCCTTACCTGAGCATGTGATATGATGACGACGATCAGCACACAGTTGACCCTGAAAACAGGGTCATCGATTTCTTTGCTGAATTTTTAATTTTTCGGTGTTCGTATGCATGTAAGAAACTTCTACTTTAAGGCTTTGTACAACTCAAATATAACTCAATGTTTCTATGCTTGATAACGAAAATGACGTTTGTTTTATCTGGTAGAGTAACAAATCAAGGGGAATAAATCTCGTTACCCTGCTACAACGGATAACTACGGATGGCTAGAACCGATTTCAGTCTACAGGTTTTACATTATATACCGAGATTGAATCACCCGTGCTCATGTGCTACAAAAGGTTTCCATTAGCACCTCTATACTGTTCCAAAGTTTTTAAAAGGTTACCGTGGGCTAAAGCTTGCTTTATTCAATCATTCACTTTCGAACACAACGGCGGATTCGTTCTCTTGCCATGCAAAAATCGTATTGCACCTCCCATATCTACGTTTATACACAGCTTTATGGTGATAGTCATCTGTGTTGCAACTTTACATACGCATAAGCTGATTCTATTTCTTCTATGTGTCATATCCCTATCAGGACGTTGACGATCATGGCTCTCCACAATTTCCTATCATTTCTTAAATTTTGTTATTTTGCTATCTCTCTCAGCTTCTTTATATAGGCTCATTGGGTAGGTTATGCGTTCTTTTTTCTGTCCTTATTGCCTTCAGTATATACTGTGAGTGATAAATTTCCTAAGCCCTCTTTCACCATCATACGCCTTATACATTTTAACTGTCTCTTCCTGATTCTAAGTACAAGTGTCCCTTTTGTTTCCATTTTCTTTAAAACCCCGTCGCTGCTCACATGTTGGGTCCATGGTATTCTTAGTATCCTTCTGTAGAACCATATTTCTGCTGTTTCAAATCTCTTTGTTTCTAACGAAATACTGCTTCTTAATACATTGCTAAGCTTTTGGATGGCATCTTTAGATAGCCTAATATTTCGACTGCAAATCAATATGATTTGTCATCTTCAAGATGAGTTTTCTTCAAGAACACAGAACCAAATTGTGGAAATACTGTGCTATAGTTTTTAATTACATGCTTTGCTAGGGCTACGTAACCACAGCTAAAGAGTTTAGTCCACGCTGTTATTTCACCCATAGCGCTCGATTCATGTGTTTACCTAGGGTGTTTGTGTGAGAGCGAATGTAACAATCTTGACTGGAATTCGAACTCGGCTATCCTATTTATTGTTTTAAGCCGATTATTTACACTATCTGTGCCTCCAAAAGTACGTTATTTTGAGAGAAAAAATATTCTGCATTAGTCAGCTGTAGACCAAGCCTCGGTAAAAAAAAAAAAAAAAAAAGGAAAAAAAAATGACGATTAAATCCATGTGTATTACTTGAAATAAAAGTAAAGAAAACGGCGCATGAAGAAAGCTAGGATTGTCAGCGCGATAAAACAATGGAGTTAAAAACGCTTTTCTTTTAATCTGAACAGCTGAGAGGCAAATTCATTGAGAGAAAATGACAAACAAAGAACAAAAAGAAAGAACAAAAAAAATAATGTACATACTTTTTGTATGTGGCTGGGAAAGAAGGTGTATGGATATAGTTCTTTGTGTGTCTTTGGGCTTTTAGTTTGATTTTGCCAACACATTCTTCTGCTGAAATAAAAGAAATCAGACATTAGTTTTATATTATTGATAAGAAAAATACTTGAATACAATTTCGACATATGCACAAATCACTGTGATTTGGAATCTGGCTGATTTTGAAAGGTTAGAAAAAAAACCGAAAAAAACAAACAAAAAAAAACAAACCTTTGTTTCACACAAAAGAAAAAAAAAAAAAAAAATCTTACCAATAATTGTCATTTGCCTAAATAATATATATATATATATATATATATATATAGCAATTTTCTAAAGATATAATGGACATTTATTTATTAATCTGACATATTTTACCACTTTAAAAGTTATTTTTAGCGGATGCTCTCATTTGAGTGGACGCGGGTTCGAATCCTGTCGGAGAGAGCATTTTTTTAATAAGATTTTTCGAATACTCAAGCTGGTAGATGAAAATAAATATATTGTCTAATAAATAAACGGATCGTCTACTCAAATACGAACATCCGCTAAAAATAACGTTTAACGTGATTGCGCTTTGGATCGAAATTTTTACCCATTTCAGATCAATAGCGACTGAAATATTTTGATCTGGGACGAGTGTGGGATGGAAGCAATGATTTATAGGTTTTTCTAATCAAACTGACTGGAAAAATGAATTCAAACTCTACAAAAAGGGAATCGCTCCGCTAGCTAAATGTCCACCTCGATGGTGCTACCTGAAGGGACCTTTATTTGATACTCTTCGCTTTCGACATTTTCAAACACTAGAAGCAGTTGTCCCGGATCATCATTGACTTATTATATTCGTTCGCTGATAAGCCCCACATTCACAAGCTAATATTCTATCAATTCTTCCTCAAGCGAACACTTCTGATCATTTCATTAGCTGATTTCATGACATATTAGAGTAAATCACACTATATTAGAGATCTTAATTCAGGAAACAAAAAAAAACAAAAAAAGTAAAACAACATCTGATGTACCATCAAAATTTTACAAGATTTATCCGAAGAGAAATCAAGCTGTTGCGAAAGTGAACAGTTTTAAGAAACTTTTTTTTTTCTTAACCATTAAAAATGAAAAGACTTTCGCATTCTGTTGGCTTACCATATGTGATGACGCATAGGACTAACTCGTAACGTCCGCTACTAAGAATAACATTTGGAATAAGTACAGGAAATCAAGAACTAAGAGAAACTTGGAACAGGAATAAACTTTCATTGAGATTATATTAACGTTCCGAAAAAGTTAAATGTTCTCTTCTGAAATGAAGGACATCAATTACGGTAAATATATAAAATGATATCATTTTGTATAATTTTATATATCAACAAAGAGTATTAAAAAAAAATATGATAAACTGGGAAGGTTTATTTTTTGTGACGCGTTTTATCCGTAAGGATTTAATCGGACTGGGCTTTGTTGGCTCGTCTACACATGCGCACGAAACGACAGACGCATCTATATTCTTTTTCTTTATCTACCTCCCCCCCACACCCAGTTTGTTTCTGATGAGTCCACACTGTGACTATATAAAATCTACCAAAAATGGTGATATATTGTAAGAGCCTGGACGTAAATCTATTATAAACAGAGCATTTACTTAAATATATTTGTGTATATATAAATAACGTGTAACAATAAAATATATTAAAAATAATTGTCGGACTTAGTCCATCACGTAATATATATATATATATATATATACACTCAACTATTCCCGTTGAATTCGACGTATGAAGGTCAAAAAAGATCAATTTCTAGGAAACTGACAGCCTGATACCAGCACTTGAGATTTGATTATAGTGGTGAAGGTTTTGTGCAGAACCATCCAAACTTTTGAAGGCCCGAATATAGAGACTTGATGCACTACTTGCCACAGGTTCCCCAAACGACTCTCCGCAGGTTTTGGATATATATATATATATATATATATATATATATATATATATATATATATATATATATATATACATACTTGTGCGTGTATAAAATAAAAGGTCAAAAGGAGGATGATAGACTGTTTCATAGTTGATATGCAATTTAGTTCAATAAAAGAAACAGATTATCGACACTCTGTGTTGATTCTTATATTTCCATACGCTCTCTTCCGGATATTGTGTTCTTTTACCCATAAATATTTCATACCTTAAAACTATATTTTATCACACACATACATATATATATATATATATATATTTATATATATATCTCATAGGTAAGTTAAGGTTCATTGCCTTTCTCGAGGAATGATTGCATGAAATACCAATTAAATATAGTGTTTTGGTTCTGTTTTCACGACTTCTAAATGCTGTTCTCCAGTGCTTTCTGTGTATAGAGTTTTTGGTCTATGTTGACATTTAATGCATGATGACAAAAAAGTTTTGATTTTAGTGTTCTGTTAATTGCACACACAAAGAAACTGGTCAATATTGAAAAGATTCAATAAGAAAAATACTATTTACTCTTGTTCTGTTAAAAGCATTTGTTTGAAAGTAAATAACAGAATTGTTGAAAACTGATTAGGACTTTCCGGTAGTTCGACATTATTTTTATGTTATTAAAAAAAAAAAGAAAAAAAAAGTGAATTCCACTTAATGTAAAATATATCCTTTTTATTTTATTAATCGATAAACTTGACTGACAAGAGCCATTAACGCGTTTCAAATACTTGAGTTGAATTTGGCGGGGTTGAGGAGAGAAAAAAAATAAAAAAAAGGAAAACGGAAGACAGGAAAAGTAATTTTTAATTCATTCAAAATCTGCAAAGCTATATTAACAAGACAGAGAAAAAAAAAACAAAAAAAGAAAAAACAGAAGATGAAATTATCAGGATGAAAACCTTCTTCAAGTGGAAGAAATTATTTCTTTTTTTTAAAACTAAATCTTATTTTCGCCTCAAACTTTTTTTTATACAAAGTGCAAGTTCAATGAATTTGAATGGCGCGTACAAAGCTAGTGTCGTTCGGATATTATGCCGTTAATTGTAATTTATTTTCAAGCAAAGCAGCACAGATGCAGGCACTGAAAAGAAGCCCCTTTACGAACTAATGGTCGAAAATTTCAAGCGGGTCCCATCGTACAGGAAAAAAAACAAGGCGATACTGGAAAAGGACCAATTTGAAATACAATTTGAAACACTGAAAAAAGAAACACAAAGTCTTTATCAAATGAGATACATAAAAAAAAAAAATCACATTTGAGTTTGCTCGTTGCAGGAAGAAGACATCGGTCAGAGATTATTTCCCAACGTTTAATGGGACGCAAAATCATCTCTAGTTGGCTTCTTTTTCATTGTTGGTTCGAGGGCCAAAGCAAAGATTATGTATATGATTCTCGCTCAACTTTTTGGAGGTCAAGTAAGTAAATACATAATTTTCTCATGTATGAATTTAAATGTTCGGTAATATTGCTTTAAATCACGTTCAAATGAAACGGTAAATTTATTCAAGAATATAGTATTCATTAATAATGATAAGAAACTCCACGCTTTCAACGTCGGCTGCATATCAAATTCACTCTATTACTCAAGTGAAACACGTATATAAAAAAATCCATTGCTAAAGATGCCAGGAAAATAGCTGTCATTCTATCGCCCTACTCTTCTATCATGCTTTAATTTTATGTTGTGGAGTAGCTGAACACCCCCACAAGATACACTGGTCTAAGACTATTTAAACAGCACTATTTCTTAGTGAGCGGGAGGAGTTAACGATTAACCGTTACTCTGTCGACCCTTCTGTCTCCCGGAAGAGAGGAACGCAGACAAGGTTATGCGTAAGAGTAGAGTCTTGTCTGGGGATGTAGACAGCTACCCGACCCTGTGTATACAGGGTTTACGGACAATTTTTACCCGAGCCTACGGGCTTGAAACGCCCCACGTAAAAAAACGGCCTTGTGCCACATCCCACCTTGAGGAGAGGTCTTGGGTAAATACCTATTAGTCTTTGTTCTCAACCATGTACCATATTATTTTCTGAAATAAAGTATATCTTATTTTCTATGTGTGTGCCAACGTTTCCTATTTACGACACAACAATTTACAAGAATCAGATTAGACCAAAAAGTGTATATTGATGCCATATCTGTGCTGGAGCTGCTCCCTCTTCACTCTCTAGTCTTAAAAGCGCTCAAAATTGTTTTAGTGTTCTTGTGGGCAAAACTTATTCTCTACTCTGGAACCTCTTTCACACGGACGTAATGTTGATTCCACCCGTTTAAATCTAAGACGCGCCAAGCTACTTCCACAAAATCTAATCATCCTCATTTTGCCTGTATTCTGAATGAAAGAATAAATTTCCACTCACACAATTACTTTTGTTGAACAGGAACACTGAAATCTTACGCTCTTCAAATCAAGAGTCAACCATTATCGTTCCTTCTTACCCTCATAATCATAATACCATACCATCCACCTTTTTCATTCATATCCCATACTATACTCATTATACCCATTTCAATAATAACGCTCTACCTTGAGAAGCTCTTTATATACAAGAAAGCAATGTTATTTTAAATTAAATAGTATGTTCGGAAAAACTTATTGAACTGGTTTAATTATAACGGTTTCGCTAATATCAATTTATAGAGATTTAAAAAGTCTCTCAAAGAAACGGATCAAAGAAAAGGGACATGGCTTGTGCAACGCCGGGTGTTATTGCCAGAATTTATTACATAATTACTTTAAAAAAAATGGTATATCGGTTTCATTGGTTTAAAGGATCAATTGATCATTGCTGATTGAGAATTAAGATTTCCAATTACTGATTCTTTCTGCTCAGTTACAACATATTCGAGCCGCTTTACGTTCTCATATTTGTAAATCCTTTCACACCAAGGCAATAAAGCCACTAAGATACAAGGGGTTACAAAGTGTGAGAGAATATGAAAAAAAACTTTATTAAGGAAAAATACAAAAGAACAGAAATTAAAAAAGACAAGATAACGATTTACATTGCATATTCTTTGGATTTTATTTGAGTCAGTCAGTTAGATATTCACTAACCGCCCCACCCGGTCGGATGTGGCACAAG